TCGTTGCTTAAAGCATTTCTTAAAACTCATGGGAAAGAACCAACACTTGTTTTAACTGATCAAGATGCTGCAATAAAACAAGCTGTTGAGAATGTGTTTCGTAATTCAAAGCACCGATTATGTATGTGGCATATAATGAAAAAGTTGAAAAAAAGGTATTATTTTAATATATTTCAAATATATTACTTATTAGTATATTCATTTATGAATATTGATTGTTATTTTACTTATTATTATTTATTCATTTATGAATATTTTTGTTTTAATACAGATATCATATGATTTATTTACAAACACAGACTTTAGAAAAAGGTTTTCGAAGCTTGTTTGGGACATTAATATGAAACCTGATGTTTTTGAGGTGAAGTGGGGTTTGCTTATGAATGAATTCAATCTTGAAGACACAAGATGGTTTAAAGACATGTTTACAATACATGATTCATGGATACCTGGATATTTTAGTGATATTCCAATGTGTGGTTTGATGAAGACTACATCGAGGTCAGAGAGTATGAATTCATTCTTTAATATATATTCAGAAAGTGGGAACTTACTTTTGAATTTCATGATGAATTACGACACTACCATTCAAAAACAAAGGAATACTCAACGAGAACTTGATAAGGCATCAAAGAAAGCATCATATAAAATGCAAACACCTCGAGAAATAGAACTGCAAGCATCAAAGGTTTATACAAGTACATTATTTTTTGAGGTGCAAAAAGAAATATATAAAGCATGTTTTTTTCTATACATACTCATATGTTGGTATTGAATATGGTTGGGAAGTTTACATTGTGTAGCACAAGAACAGTAAAAGTGATTTTAAAAATGAATTTAAGGTAATTTTACTTGTTTTTATGAAAAATGTAATAATATTCATATATGAATATGATAATATTCATATATGAATATCAATATTCATATATGAATATATGAATATTATATGAATATATTAATATATGAGTGTTGATATGAGTATTCTTATATGAATGTAAATGTGTAAATTTTGTTTTTGTATCAGGTTGAAATAAAAGCTGAAGAGAAAGAAATAAATTGCAGTTGTGAACATTTTAAGCGTATGGGTGTTTTATGAAGACATGCTTTTACAATAATGATGAGATGTGGTGTTAAATAAATTCCTAAAAGGTACATTTTGAAGAGATGGAGAAAGGATCTGATATCAAGAAATTATCGTTTTAGTTCTGTTCAATCCGATTCAGGTGATTGTGAGAATGTAAAGCTAGTCAATGATTCATATTATAGTTTTGAATCATGTTTGGATATTGTAAGAGATGATAAAAAGAGATTGCCTTTGTTTGCTGAGAAACAACAAATGTTGTTGAAGGAATTTGAGAGTGATTATATTTCTCCTGGATTGAAAAGCAAGACAGATGGTGAAGTCATATGCAAGCTTTTAGGTGTTAGTATTCCTATTCCAGAAGAGATTAATATTCATGTTCCTGAAGTTCAAAGAAATAAAGATCTGGAATCAAGAAAAGAATTCCAAGTGCAGGTGAAGTAACATATGAAAATTCTAAAAAAGAACAAAGAATGTGTTCAGGATGTGGAAAACGAGTTCCACACAATTTAAGTATTTGTCCAAAAAGAGTTGGAGCTACTAAATCAGCAAAAGACATTTAGGGATTTTTTTTTATTCATTTCTGAATATATGCAGATAAAAAAACAAACAATAATATTCATGTATGAATAATACACATTTATATTGATATGGAAAATTTATATATTGATATTTGTTTTTTAAATTACTATAAAATAAGTTATATTGATATTGTAAATTATTTATAAATGAATACAAATATGTGAAATTTGTTATACTAATAAATAAGTAATATTCATATCTGAAATTTTTTATGTTAATATTTGAACTTTGTTATACTAACATATTGTGACAACCCAAAGTTGTTTCATCGCTGCAACCTGTTCCGTCCGTAAAACTCGTCTTAAGCGAATTATTCCGATTTCATTTTTGGATTAGGTCAATTAAGTTAAGACTTTTATTTTGACCTTATAAGTATCCAAACATGTTAGAAGCACATGAAAACATCCCAACCTAGTAATTAGAAAAATTTTAGTTTCGACCATATCGGGTGACGAGAACTCAATCGGGTGCAACCAAAAGCCTCGGTTAACGTCAGTATTAGGTAGAATTCCACCGTGTCTCAAATCCAAACCATATTTAAAGTTGTTTAAGCCTTATTTGAAGCCTTTTCACTCTCTCTAACCTCTCTCCTCAATCCAAGATCTAGGTCCAAAAATCACTCATTTCAAGCTTCAAATCACCAAGGTAATTATCCTAGCTTCTAGTATAACATCCTTAGCCTTCATTTTCGTGTTCAAATCATGGAAGAATTCCTTAAACATGTGCTTACGGCCTTGGAACACTCTTGGTCTGTGAACACATATAAAGGGAGTTTTTGAGCCTTAAAACCCTTCTAAACCACCATTGGAGCTTAGATATGGCTTAAGGACTTATATGATTGGACTTAGAACACCTTAAACTCAACATTTGGGGAGTAAAAATGAGTTTACTGCCCAAGAACATGATTGGGCCGTAAACTCCATATCATGTGTAGTAAACTCCTTTTTAGGTGTTAAAATGCCACTTACACACCTCCTAAGCCTTGAACTAATAACTAGAAGCAACCACAATCGAATTAGAAGCCTTAAACTTGATGAAAACAAATCTATTAGGAGTTCATGGCCGTAAACCCCCCAAGAATGGGTTCCTGGGCCGTAAACTCCTATAAATGGGTTAAATGGTGCCCTAAATTCACCCCTCGGCTTGTAAAAATGAGTAGAATCACTTATGATTAACCTATGATCATCAAAGCACATAAGAATTGAGTGGGTGAAAGTTTACAGCCGTAAACTCACAGTTTACTACCGTAAACTCATCAAATGGTCCATATGATTGACTAAATCCCCTTCAAATGCCCTAGAACCAAACCTAGCATCACCCCTAAAATGATATAAGGCCATTTAGCACTTAAGAACACCACTCATGAGTTTACGGCTGTAAACTGATGAGGATGTGGTGTTTAGGGCCGAAAACTCTTCTAAGAGTTTACTCTTGTAGAGTAAACTCCATACCCAAGCCATATGTATCCATAAATGTCACCCGGGTCACTCCAAACACTTAATATCAAGTGTTTTTGCATGTATCTGATTAGTGATTTAAAGTCTAATTAGATACATTTGTGTATCATTTAATATTACATAGGAACCCCGCACGTTTTCAAGCCACGATCCAACGTTTAGCATTCTAGTCGACACATTCCTCGTCCGGTGAGTTCATACCCCTACCCTTTTTTCAATGTTTTTCACTGCTTTCATGGGGGGAATATAAGCAAAGTACAAGGAATACTTGTACTCAAAACATGTTTTATATGTGTTGTGTTTCATATTACATATGCTTTTAACACTGACAATCAGAACAGATAACCATTTGAACTTGCATATCACATTATCGTATTATTTGTGAAAAACGTTATAAATTGTTTTATTTTATATTTTCACAAATGGTTTTTCCTTAACATTATTGTTAAAAGCAGTAGATAGAATTTAAATAGGATATTTCCGCATTATTACGCGAGTGGAGGATCGTCTTTGTAAATAGAATTTAAATAGGATATTTCCGCATTATTACTTGTAGATTTGTTATTCCTATAAAATTGGAGACACGTCCCCGGAGAACACTCCACAGAGATGCGCGAGTGGAGGACCGCCTCTGTAACCAGAATCTCTTAAATAGGGAGCATGACTTGAGTGTATAGATCTATATGGGGCTGACTACCCCGCACCTGGCTGCTAGCTACAGCCGAACCAAAAGGTTCAAGGGTGACAAAAGTCATAAATGATATTGGCCTTCCTTTGCCATATCTAGTCTATAGTATGGTTATAGAACTCATAATTTGGATAACAGAGATTTACCTTTTAGTAATAATGGATATAGTAAATTAATAACCTTAAGAATTAGTTTACTATGTTGATAGCTTTATATATGTGTTAAAACTAACATACATTTCACAAGGATAATCAAGTTTTTAGTATACATCTTTTACATTATATTTTGGTTTGGTAAACTAACACACACTTCACAAGGATAATCAGGTTTTCAGTATACATCTTTTACATTACATTTTGGTTTGGTAAACTAACACACACTTCACAAGGATAATCAGGTTTTCAGTATACATCTTTTACATTACATTTCGGATTGGTAACCAACTTTTAGGAAAATATAGGATTTTCCTGGGGTAATAACTATTCATAACCAGAATTGTGTAACATAACGGAAAACTAAACATTACTTTTAAGAAAATATGGGATTTTCTTGGATAACCACTTTTTCAGAAAACAAAATGAATCTTGTTCATTTTCATAAAACAAACCACTTATGAACTCACCAGCTTTATGCTGATTTTTAAAATGCTTGTATTCTTAGGTTCTCCTTAGACAGGTATCCCGCGTTATTTTGCAGAAGACGGAGCATATGGAAGTCACGTCTTTTTTTGTTTAAACTTATGTATCTATGAAACTTGTATTACTTTACTTTCAAACTCATGTAAGGAAATCTATGTAATGTAATGTTTTGTGTTTACTTCGCTTACTATGTACATTGGTTATGATATTCACATGAAGTCACCTCCACCCCGGAACATTTCCGCCCTGGGTTTCGGGGTGTGACA